GAACATAGGAATCCCAATATTGAGAAAGATTAGGCATATTATGAAATATTGTCTTAAAAAGGTGCTAGCCAATTTTCTAAGTGTTAACAAGCTTGTTCAAGAAATGTACCTGCAATGAAGACCCTAAGCTAAAATATTGATTATCAATTTAACACATTATGTACGAGGCATCCAAGTGTCAAGACTAGGTACCATAGCACATGATCATTCAAAATGATCATGTAGAGTAAGCAATGCCCAAGGATATAGTGAGGATCCTTGGGACAAGTAAATGAGCAGCAACCCATCTGCAAGCACATGTGCAAGAACTCAGTTAGGGTGGTTAGCTGCAGGCGCACATGTGGTGGTCAAGCCATGTGGGGCTGAACTTCCTAACCAACTCTAGCTATAACTAACTTATCTAAATAGCTAACTAACCTAGGACTAACTGAAATAAACTAACTAGTGCACCCAAAAACCTAAGACCTAACCGGGTGACACTAACCTAGTAACTAACTCAAGAAACATCCTAGTACATAACCTAGGATGGTCCAAAAGGGTTTTTATGGCCCTAACGACTTAGGGGTACTTTAATAATTACCCTAGGTCACTTATAAATTAAACTAACAACTTAATTAATTAATTTAAATGGGAAAACCGAAATACTTACACTAGACAAGTAACTAACTAAGAAACATCCTAGTACCTAACCTAGGATGGTCCAAAGGGTTGGTTATGGTCCTAAAAACTTAGCGTTACTTTAGTAATTACCCCAGTTCACTTAATGAATTATTTAAAAAACTTAACTAAATATTCTAAATGGTCAAACCGAAATCCTTACACTAGACAAGTAACTAACTAAGAAACATCCTAGTACCTAACCTAGGATGGTCCAAATGGTTGGTTATGGTCCTAACAACTTAGGGGTACTTTAGTAATTACCATAGGTTACCTAATTAATTAAATTAGAAACTTAATTAATTAATTGTATTGGTCAAAACCGAAACCACTAAGCACTTTCCAGATTTCGGTTAAGTCAAGTGTTATTCTAATTCTAGTGAATTTAGGAGGGACGTTTAAGTAAATTAGCTAATTAATTTATTAATTAAATTAATTAGTCTGAGTTAAATTACTAATTATTCATTTCCTATACCTAGAATCACGCTTAAACACTAGAAATTCACAACTCAAAACAGAACGCAATCGGGAGAAAAAGCAGAAAATTTCTTAGGCGATATCAAAAAGTTCATCAAAGTTTACGTGAAAAAGTGCAAGGTGATCTTCGTAGATTCAATTCTACATAAGGTATGCATTTTATCTGTTGGATTCTTTTCCCCAAGAGGCCTTTCAAACTTTTATGAATTCAAGAATATCGAAACTAGGGTTGTTCCCAATGACATTGTTGAACGTCTATCTCCTTAGTTATCCTTGTTTTAGATCCTAATAGTATGTAAATGTAATATCGAACATGTTGTTGGTATGTGGTGCTAACTGATCATTATGTGTAAGTTTTATGTGATTTGAATATGTCGAATGAGACCTATACGTTAGATCCATATGATTAATGCCTAATTCTGTTCGACAAGATGAAATTGTTGTAATTCGTTTCTAAAATTCAATTTACTATTGAAATGGGGTGAAGATTATGATTACTATTTGTATTTTACAGTAGATAAGTTTGTAAGTGTTTGGAATGTAATGTTTCCAAGAAAAGATAAGAATGAGAATCAAAGCTAGTTAATGAACCTTCGATGCCAAATTAACTTATTAGCTTAGCCAAACTAAACATTGAATTGTTCATATAAGCTAATCAAATGCAAAAAGTTGGTTGCTTAACATGATGAGATTACTATAATATATACATGAAGTTAAGTGAATTGGCTAATGGTATTCTCATGACCAGTCTCTAGTGAAAGTTTGGCTTATTCCAATAAATTGGCTAACAATATTATAGATTATCATAATATATGAAAGTTTGGTCTATGCCAATAAATTGGCTTACAATTTTATTTGAAAAATATGATATAAAGTTAGATAATGACTTAATCATACCAATCTTACATGACCAACATAAATTATAATGTTTCTTGTGAGGCCAAATACATGATAAAGATTAAGCATGAGCAATGTAACTCAATGAAACTCATAACCAAGGGTATTCCAATGATTGGGACAAGTCCCAACATACCCTATATAAATAACCAAAAGCTTATGAGTTATGAAATTCACCAGAATGGGGTGTTAAAGGAAGTGACACAAATCCCACTTGCAACTAAACAATTATGCTAAAGATACTTACATAAGAGGGTGTTAGAATTCGTGAGACAAGTCTCACTCACACCATAATGATAATGTAAGACTTAAATTCACAGTTCATCAAGTAAAGAAAGGGATGACAAGTTATCCAAAGAGTTAAGTAAACCTCATAACTAGAAGCAAACATCCATAATGTTTGAGTCAACTCTAAAAGTTATAAGAAAAAGAAGTTGAGCAAAGCATCGATAGACTAGCAATGAGCTTAGGCCAGACATGTAAGCGTCATGAGATGAGGCTCCAGTAAGGTGGATAAGAGTCTCCGAATATCACCTAGTCTTTGAACTGTGTTACCAGCATATGAACTAGCCAGTGGATTCCACCTAAGAGAGCTAGGTATGATGCGGTTTCACTTTGGCCAGTGAAACCACCCCTTTTCGGTGTGAGGCAGACACTATATTTTATGTTTATCTCACATGATCTATGTCGGTTAATGCTCAAAGAAAGTTTTCGGTTCACTTTAACCGTGAGCCACCTCTTTTCAGTGTGAGGAAGACACTCGACTTGGTTTCACTTTAGCCGGTGAACCATCACTTTTTGGTGTGGGGCAAACACTGGATTTCAGGTTTACCTCACATGATATAGGTTTACTTTGATCGGTGAACCACCCCTTTTCGGTGTGGGGCATACACTAGATTTCATGTTAGCTCGCATGATCTTAATGCTAAAGATTGCTTTAAGAAAGTAAGAAATAAAGAAGAAGAAATGTAAGTTCAAAGTGAGCTAAGGAAGCAAGAGCTTGATTATGTCAAATCATTTGTGGTTGATAAGAATGAAGTTTTAACAATTCATTGGCTTGTGCCAAATAAAGATATATGCTCCAATATATTCACATTATGCAAATGATCAAATAATGGGCATAGTCAAATAAAAATTGGCTTATAATGACTTCTTATATTATGCCAATAAAAGAGAGTAAAACATAATGGCTAATCGATACCCCATAATCTTCATAATATAAAAATGATGAAATAAGTGGCCTAGCCAATAAAGATTGGCTTATAAAGGTTTCACGCCCAAATTGTAGTTAAAATATTTTCTTAATCTCTTAGATTACTTACTTGATTCATTGTAGGTATGGGACTATAATGAATCATTGTACTTGTAAGTAATACATAAGATCAAAGGAGATAATTGAACTACACAACAAAAAGAAGAAAAGACTGAAAAATATACTAAGGTTGGGAGAGGGAGCTCTCCTCCTAATGGGGAGCAAACATATAAATTTTTGCTCGAGTTGTTCTAAAATCATGTTCATGATTCCAAGGTCTTATGTTCATATAGAAAATGAGTTGTGTGGTTTGAATGCATTAAAATATGTCATATTAATACCATGATTCACAAATAACGAATTAAGAATGTCTAGTGACTTCACTTTCCAAAAATGACATGTTGTTGTAGGAAGAGCTTTCTTTGATCATGCATAGTCTTTAGGTGTATATCTGCATACACCCATACTTAGTACAAGTGTGTATTAACCCTATACTATTCTATAGGCGTATGTCAAAAAGCAGATTGAAGACTCATTGAAGCGGTTTGGATTAGCGATCTCCAAACTTTGGTAGGTCCTCTAGAGTTCGAGGATGCTACATCTATCATTCTAGATTTGTACTTTAGACGTAACTAGTGGAGGTTGTCTCTAGCGTTTCATTTCAGACATTTTATTCAAATACTACGGCCGTTTGACAATCTATTACGATACATTGATTATTTCATTTGAATTGTTTAATCGATTATTGATGATTGTTTAGTTTGAGCTCATTAGAATATTGTTTTATATAGTAATCATATGAAGTCTATGTATACTTCACTATGTTTTAAAAGTTTTAAATTTTTCGCAAATTTAACTATATGATTGTGATGAAAGCTAAGAAGAGGCTTATCTGCGACCTATGAGAGGTTAACGACGCCGGTTGCGTTCGAATTCAAGAATCCGGGTGTGAAAGACATAGTAATATGAACCACCTAGAGGGACATCATATTTGTCACGAGGAAGGCATGCATATCGTATCATCAAAGGAGTTAATATCATTGCCGAGAGGGTCATCCTCTTCTATTGCCAAGAAGGCCATTGCACATTCAAACGTCGAGAGGGCCATCATATTCAAACCGCCAAGAGGGTCATTGCATCTTCAACCGCCAAGAGGGCCATCAACTTTCCTTGCCAAGAGGGCCATTAAATATGCAAACTGCCGAGAAGGCCATTATCTTCAAATGTCGAGAGGGCAATTATGCATGCAAATGCCAAGAGGGCCATTGCATCTTCGAAAACTCCAAGAAGGGTGTTACATCTTTTCATTGCCAAGAGGGCCATTACATATCTGAACCTCCAAGAGGGCCATTATATTCTAACATTCAGAAGGTTGTTACATCTTCGAAACCTCGAAGAAGACTGTTACTTTTTAAAATTCCAAGTGTTCTTTGAAAAAAAATTAGACATTGATTTTTTAGGATAAACTTTTTAATTCTATTATTTTATTGATGAATGGTCCTTAATGATTTTTTATTTAACATTCTTCAAAATTGAACTCTTCTTCGTTCTCTTTCTTAGACTTTCCACAATAATTTCTTCAAATTTTTTTGGGCACTGTTAACTAAAAAATAATAATTATAGATTATACTTTTAGAATAATTTTACTTATCAAGCATAGTAATTTTTTCTTGAACACTATAAACTGAAAATTAGTAATTATAGATTAGACTTTTTAGAATAGTTCTCTATTAGTACTATTGCACATAGCGGTGTGTTTTGAGTTTTTTTTTACCAGATCATTCATTTTTGCTAAAAATTGGAACTATATTCAAGATTTGAGAAATTAAACCATGGGTCTTTTCTGTTTTGTGATAATTTTTTGTGTTATTTGATTTCTGGTAGGGTTATGCTTGTTGGACGGGTGGAAACAATGGTTCAGCCTTGACTGGAGGTGTTATTGCTAACAGAGAGTGAGTTTTTTTTTTCTCTTTTTGCTCTGTAATTTCTCTATGTCTTTGTCATGATTCTTGCATAAACAATAGTTGTTGTTGAAAATTGGCAGAGGAATTTCATGGGCTACCAAGGATGTGCAGCAAGCCAATTACTTTGGTTCTCTTACACAGGCCTCTACTATTCGAGTTGGGTCCTTCAATGGACAGGAGATCTATACTTCCTTTAAGAGCATACTTCCCATGGTAACCTTTATTTGTTTTGAAATGACACTTTCTGGTGTTGGTTGTCACTTTTATATACTCTGTTTCATTTTTGACTTAACGCGCTGCTTAAAGAAGCTAAAGAATGAACGTTGTGATATGAAAGATGCAAAGTTGAAATTAGAAGTCTACATAAAAGAAAAAAAATTGTTTAACTTTAAAAGTTAACATAAAAAGAAAGAAATATTTTTTGTATACGGATAAAAGAAATATTGTTTTAGTCCTGTTTTGAATTGACACGGAGAGGTAAAGCATGAATCTTGTGCTAGAAAGACTTTTTTTTTCTAAAAAAAATATACTCTCTAAAAAAGGGAAGTAAGACAAACCAATGAGACGAGGATAAAATTTTTTCTGTTTGTTGATGTGTTTTTAATCAATTGATAATGAAATAGGTTAATCCATCCAGATGATGTAGTGTTTGGAGAATGGGACATCAGCAACATGAATTTGGCAGATGACATGGCAAGAGCTAATGTTTTTGACGTTGATCTTCAAAAGCAACTGAGGCCCTACATGGAATCCATGGTCCCATTCCCTGGTATCTATGACCCTGATTTCATTGCTGTAAACCATTCCCTGGTATCTATGACCCTGATTTCATTGCTGCAAACCAAGGCTCACGTGCTAACATTGTCATCAAAGGAACCAAGAAAGATCAAGTTGATCAAATTATTAAGTATATTAGGTAAAACAGGGTTGTTTTATTATATCACAAACTATATAACCTTTTGGTTGCTAATTATAGTGTTGTTTTAGGGTATATTAGGGAGTTTAAGGAGAACAACAAAGTCGACAAGGTGGTGGTCCTGTGGACTGCCAACACCAAAAGATACAGCAGTGTGGTTGTTGGCTTTAATGATACCATGGAAAACCTCTTTGCTTCTGTGGATAGAAATGAGGCCGAAATATCTCCTTCCACCTTGTATGCTATTGCTGGTATTCTTGAAAATGTACCCTTCATCAATGGAAGCCCACAAAATACTTTTGTCCCAGGTATGTTCCAGTTTCAAATTAAATATCTTGCTTTGTTGTTGTTATTGTTGTTGTTTCTTTTGGAAATCAGTTGTGTGTTAGTCTTATGTATTCATTGAAAATTTGTTAGGCCTCATTGATTTGGCCATCAAGAGGAACACTTAGATTGGTGGTGATAACTTTAAGAGTGGTCAAACCAAGATGAAGTCAGTGGTGGTTGATTTCCTTTTTGGAGCTGGAATTAAGGTATGGTATTAAGGTATGCTATACATTCTTCGCTATCTTGTTTGAGGAGAGGTAATGTTGTTGTATTTACTACAGCTCTTTCTTATCAAATTTCTATCATTACATAAATACACAGGACTAAAGAGACAACTAATAAATATGGCTTATGCTGCCATAACATCTTTCATGATAACACTTGAGGAGATGACAAAGAACTAATAATGGAAGTGCTCCATGGAAAACTTGATTCTTTGAGAACACTTGTTGAAGAAACTTGATTCATGTAAAGGTATCAATGAATGAAAGCTTTGAAATGGCTGCAGAGAAATGCTTGAAAGATCTCATTGCTAGAAGCTTAGTTTTTGTCCATACATACACTTCCCGTGGAAAAATCAAGAGCAGTAGAATTCATGATATGGTCTATGGATTTTTCTGAGAAGAAGCTCAAACTACAAACTTCTTGAACATTATCACAGAGAGCAATGTTCAGTACTATCAAGGTTCACAGTCCTTCTTCCTTTTCCCTAGCTTCACATCGACGGCGAATCAAATCTAGCTGGACGGATTATCAATCAGTCATTGATGACGCTACAGGTTATAAAGTGCATTCTATTAGTAGTAGTATTTCCTATGACAAAAGGCTTAACTTTTCATGTTTTAAGCTACTAAGGGTATTGGATACAATTTCACTGCGACAATTATGTTATAAGCCAAATGGTATAGAGGGCTTATTTTGCTTGAGATATCTAGCTTTCTTCGTGGCTGAACATGCATATATTCTAGCCATTGCTAAATCTACAGAGTTTAATAGTTCAGCTTTATCAGCCAAAATTAATACCACTTTATTTACCAAAAAAATATTTGGGGGTTTACAGAGTTGAGTCATCTCAAGCTAAACCTGATCGTCTTGGGTGATCCTCCATCTGAATACAAGTCTCCTGTTTTTGAACACCTGCACACCCTTTCAGAGTTGAATCCTGCAGGCTGCACACGCTCTACCAAAAGAGGCTATTAGTGACATTTAATTTTCCTTTTAGCGGCAATACTTATTGCGACAAAATTTTTTAGTGGCATTTAATCTATTGCCATTGCATTAGGTGTAAAGCCTTTAGCGGCATCTATTTAGAGTGCCGGTAAAAACCAATAATATTGCCGCTAAAAGTAAATACTTCCAAGGGCATTTATTTAACGGCAATTACTGTTGCCAGTAAAATCGCCTTAAAAATCTAATATCCAACATATTTTATGGCTTGTGTTATTGCCAGGAAAGTTGCAATAATCTTCATATTTAATCACACTTTCAAAGCATCAAATGTAAAACTCATAAGAAAATGATATTCTTCTTTTGGTAACTAATTTTGTTAGTAATCACCCAAGAGAACATTACAAAACTATAGTCTAGAAATAACTTCTGACTAGCTTGTGACAAGAAGCTGGAAGAAAACACAACTACAAATTGCTGAAGAACAAATCAAAAGATGCATTTTAGAACCAATCCTTTTAATACCTAGACAGGCTCTCACGTTGTAGATATTTACTACTTCCACTTCATGGGACTCTTGAGCATTTATTTGGCCAAATCTTTCCACTTTTTTGGGTTGCTTCTCATGGATCCTTTGATTTCTCTCAAAAATTAAATAAAGAACATTTTGAACATCTGGCAGTTTTTTATCTTCCCTTTGATATGCTAATTATGCTGAGCAGTTAATAAAATATACAGTTGTCGATTAGTGATTAGTTGAGTTAACCAATTAAGTCAGTAGGTTTTAGTTAGACAAGTAGTTAGCTGATTCTTTTATGTATATATATATATATATATATATAGGAAGAGTCATTGTAGTTAGTTAGTTTTCAGTTTTACAATGTGTATGGTGTGAACTTGTTGGAAGAAATCAATTCAGTTCTTTCTCTCCCTTTCTTCACTGTTAGATTAATTGATCTTCTTCACATGGTATCAGAGCATAAAGGAGGAAGAATCTAGGAACTATTTTTCTTCTTCTGCAGTTTTTCTTCTTCTTCTTTTCTCTGTTTTACGAAGGACTCAGTTGGATATGATCCATGGCGATCGAGGATGATTCACTGGGTGGATCGAGTACCAGAACACAAGGTGAGACAACTACTGGGAATTTGGTGATGATTGATCACAACCATCCATTATATTTGAGCTCTTCAAATGTACTTGGAGCTTTGTCTGTGGGAATTCAACTGACAGGAATGGAAAACTATACTCTGTGGATCAGAGCTATGGAGATTGCATTACTTGGATGAAACAAAATAGGTTTTATCGATGGATATGTTTTGCATACTGATTTCGAAGGTAATTTGAAAAAATTTTAGGATCGATGCAATGCCATTGTTATCTCTTGGCTTACCTGCAATGTCAGTAGGGAATTTCTTAGTGGCATCTTGTACTCCCCTAGTGCACATCAGGTATGGCTCGATCTCAAGGAACGTTTTGGCAAGATAAATGGATTGAGACTCTATCAATTGCATAGGGATATATATACTCTAACACAGGGAGTATTGAGTGTCTCTGCTTATTACACGAAATTGAAGAATTTGTGGGATGAGTATGATTCGATTTTACCTCCACCAAGTTGTGATTGTAACAAGTCTAAGGAGTATGTTGAGCAACTACAGTATCAACTTTTGCTTCAGTTTCTGATGGGGTTAAATGATAGTTATTCATCCGCTAGAGGTCAAATCCTCATGATGACAATTTACCCTATGTTAATCAAGCCTATGCTCTAGTAATCTAAGATTAAAGTCAAAGAAGAATTGCAAGCAAGATCAATGATGGAATTGAATCTTTGGCTATGTATACTTCCAGCGATAATCAATCCACACAATTCTATAATACACAGTCTCAAAATTCAAAGAAAAATTATCACACACTCTACTGTGATTATTGCAACATGAAGAAATGTGATAATTGTCATGCAACTGGGCATGTGAAAGATAATTGTTACTTGATGATTGGTTATCCAAAAAATTTCAAAGGTAAAAAGAAGGTTAATTCTGTCAAAATAGGAGGAGCACAGTTGCAGGAAGCATTGGATCATATAGGAAAGAGTGCTATGCATTCACGACTGCTTGATGAAATGGTTCACATGGATAGAATAATAAAAGGACAGGAAGAATACTGTAGTGACATACCTAACCAGCTAGGGAAGCTAATACACAAGGCAACACCTACACAACTTCAGCAAATGCTTGGAATTTTGCAAGGCAATAAGGAGTTCTTGGATTTTCAAAGCTGTGTTAATCTGGTAGGTAATCCCAATTATTGTTTGAAGTGGATTATAGATACCGGACCATCAAATCATATGATAAATAACCATTCTTATTTACATAATAAACATACAATACGTAGTACAAGGCAAGTACAACTACCCATAATAAAATCATCAACAGTATCCCACATTGGAAATTTACAATTGAATGCTACTGAAATAATCAGTAATGTTTTGTGTATACCAACCTTCAGGTTTAATCTTTTGTCTGTGAAAAAGCTGACAAAAGAATTAAACTGTTGTGTTTCTTTCTTTCCTACACATTGCATTTTTCAGGACCTGTCATCTTGGAAGGTCAAGGGGATTGGTAAAGTGGAAGAAGGTTTGTATGTAATTCAATGGAATGAAAAATCACAATTTTCTTACAATGTCTGCAATAAAAGAAGGAGCTGGAGATCCAGCATTTTGGCACAGAAGATTGGGACATGTTTTTATGAAAGTACTTAGGAAGATCAAAGAGTTCAATACTAATAGTAATTTTACTATTGATCATTGTCATATTTGTCCATAGGCTAAACAAACAAGGATACCTTTTCCCAACAGTAGTACTAATGTAAATGCTGTTTTTGACTTGATAAAGTAGCTACTTATGATGGAATGAGATATTTTCTCACACTAGTTGATGACAAGTCTAGATGGACATGGACTTTCTTGATAAGATTGAAGTCTGATGTAGTTGTTGTTCTGAAACATTTTTTTGATAATGATAAAAAATCAATTTTGCAAGTGTATTAAGGTGTTTAGATCTGATAATGGAGGTGAGTTTTTAAATGCTACTTGTTGTGATTTGTTTATGTCACATGGCATTGTTCATCAGATATCTTGTCCATATACTCCCCAACAAAATGGAGTTGTTGAAAGAAAACAGAGGCACCTACTGGAAACAACAAGAGCGATTAAGTTTCAAGGTCACTTACCAAATAGATTCTGGGGGGTTTGTATAGAAGCTGCTACATAAATTATCAACAGGATTCCTTTGTCTGCACTGAAAGATAGCACACCATTTGAGATAATGTATAATCGACAATTATTATTATCACATCTTAGAGTGATAGATTGTCTTGGATTTGCTACAAACTTGAATAAAGGTGATAAGTTTGAGCCTAGAGCTAGATGAGTTGTATTGTTGGGATATGCTATGAGTCAGAAGGGATATAAAATGTTAGATATTGAATCACAAACTTTATTTGTCAGCAGGGATGTTATTTTTTATGAGCAAGAATTTCCTTTTCAGTCATCATATCTTGGTCAAGCAGATGATCCAGAGATTGTATTTTCATACTTAAATATTGGTGATTGTGAACTCACACCTTGTGTTATTTTAAGGAATGAAATGAATGATACCGAGCTACCACAACATCAAAATCTTATTTCTGAAGCCTCAAATAACAAGTCTGAAAATGAAGTCACAATGTTTTCTGGAGATACTTCACAGGTAACACCATCTGATGTTGTTAACATCAGAAAATCACACAGACCAACCAAGGCTCCTATTTGGCATGCAGATTATATTTTGACAAAAAATAGCAAAGCTGGACAGTGTTTGTATCCCATTCAAGATGTTGTGGATTATTGCAGCATTGCACCATCTTACAAGAGTTTTATCAATAAGTTTTCTCAAGAAAGGGAACCTACATCCTATCAAGAAGCAGTTCATGATCTTAGATGGGTTGAATCCATGAGACATGAGATAAAGGCTTTGGAGGACAATCACACATGGGAGATCACTAAGTTACCTAAGGACAAGAAAGCAATAGGATGCAAGTGGGTATACAAGATCAAATATAAGGCTGATGGAGATATTGATAGATTTAAAGCTCGGCTAATAGCCAAGGGCTATAATCAAAAAGAAGGTTTGGACTATCACGAGACCTTCTCACCAGTTGTGAAGATGGTAAATGTGAGGATTGTCATACCCTTAGCTGTTGCAAAGCAGTGGAAAATTCATCAGATGGATGTTTTCAATGCATTTCTTCAACGTGATTTGAATGAAGAAGTTTATTTTGCCTTTGGGTTTTGTCCATCAAAGTGAGCAGGAGTTAGTGTGTAGGCTCACAAAGTCACTTTATGGACTTAAATAAGCCAGCAGGCAATGGAATATAAAATTGACTACAATATTAATCAACTCAGGGTTTAGACAAAGTCATCATGATTATTCTTTATTCACAAAGCATCAAAGAGATAGTTTGGTGGTGTTATTAGTTTATGTTGATGATCTGCTAATCACAGGTAATGATCACAAGATGATTTTAGAGACAAAAAGAGTCCTCAAAGACAGCTTCAAAATCAAAGATTTAGGTGAGTTGAGATACTTCTTAGGGATTGAATTTGCAAGGAACAGTACTGGAATCCTTATGCATCATAGGAAGTATTGTCTTGAACTAATTTCAGACATGCGATTGTCAAGTTTGAAACCTGTTGGAGCCCCTATTGAGTTGAATAAAAGGCTTACAATTACAAAATTTGATCTACATTTTTCTCTTGCAGATAAACATGACAAATTGTTGAAAGATCCTGGAGTGTATCAGAAACTGATTGGAAGATTACTTTATCTTACCATAAAAAGGTCAAACATTGCATTTTTAGTGAAACTTCTAAGTCAATTCATGCATAGTCCGAAGACATTTCATATGGATGCAGCAATGAGAGTGGTTAGATCTATAAAACAATCACCAGGTTTAGGGATATTCATGACAAGTGCTGTTGATAATCAGTTGAGGGCCTATTGTGATGCAGATTGGGCATCATGTCCAAACAATAGGAAGTAAATAATTGGTTACATAATTACTTATGGAGATTTACTAATATCTTGGTTGTCCAAGAAACAAAGTACCATTTCAAGAAGTTCAGCCGAGGCAGAATACAGAAGCTTGGCTTCATCAGTCGCAGAAATTGTATGGTTAGTTGGGATATTCAAGGAACTAGGAATACAAGTTGAGATGCCTGTACCTACACATACTAGCAGTAAATCAGCTATACAGATAGCAGCCAATCCAATTTTCCATGAACGAACTAAACACATAGACATTGATTGTCATTTTATTAGAGACAAGATTCAATCAGGATTGGTTCAACCAATGTATTTGAATACATTAGAGCAACCTGCAGACTTGCTCACAAAAGGCCCTACATGCGTACAACACAGATATCTACTTACCAAGCTAGTAATGAAGAATGTTTTTCATACACCTAGATTGAGGGAGGATGTTGAGCAGTTAAAAAAATGTAGAACAATCGATTAGTGATTAGTTGAGTTAACAAATTAGGTCAGTAGGAATTAGTTAGAGAAGTAGTTAGCTGATACTTTTATGTAAATATATATATATATATATAGGAAGAGTCATTGCAGTTAGTTAGTTTTCAGTTTTACAATGTGTATGGTGTGAACTTGTTGGAAGAAATCAATTCAGTTCTTTCTCTCCTTCTCTTCACTGTTACATCAATTGATCTTCTTCATAGATTTTCGATTAGATGAATAGTTCCCAATTGACTGCCATCATTAGAAATCCAACGTCATTGATCGCCGGGATTCACTACAACCATATCACCATGGGAATCAGTTCAATCATTACACCAATTATGTATAAGTATCAGATTTCAACACGCTAGCACAAATTAATCTTGCATCGAATTCTAGACAATACAAGGTAAATGAGATCTGATAGTAGATAGCAAAATGAGATTTTTAAGCTAAACCATTGATAGTATGACAAAGGTTAAAATAATCACACACATTTGATAAGAATCAACATAAATTCCAAAAAACTCCATTGTGACTATTTGAGAATAGGGCATCAATGTTGCCACTCATCATAATCAAATACTCTATTCAAGAGGGCCGCCAAGAAGAAAAGATCGTACCAAGTTATCGATAACATACATCAGTTCTAAAGCGAAGCAGAGAGTGATAGTGAGGTACTTACATATAGTTCCAGATACAAGGCTATCTGTATTATTGAAAAATCAAATTTCAGTAGTTAAACGAAAAGCTTGTTCCTATAAACTTACTTGTTAGTTTTTTTAAAAAAACCTTTGGGTACTTAAAATCTTTGAATTATAAGTTAAATAAACAAAACACAATCAGGTAGAGATGAGAGCTTATGCAAATGAGCTATGAATAGAAATCACGATTTACAACTTACTAAGAGGAGCTGACAAAAAAATTAAGAGGACCATGTTATCTCATGTATTCAAATTAGCAAACCAGAAGAAATAAAAAATTAAAAAAAAATACAAAGATCTATCCGAGTCCACAGAATTTACTGTGTGTCCTTAACCCCTCAAGTACCGAGGTTATAGATTAATTTCTCCCAAGATAAAACGGATTAACCATTAAAAAAGTAGAGGTACCTCAAACTTCAATAATTTCAACGAACTCAAAATGACAGCAACGAATCAAACATACAGACACGATTGATCGATTTTGTTTTGTAAGAAATGTATGCAAAAGAAGGGAAGAATTCAATGCTGAAAAATGAGAGGCAACCTCTCTATTTATTGACATCAAACGGTAAATGTCACAACTCTTAGGAAAGAAGACAACCTTCCAGAAATGTCACAACACTTTGGAAAATGCACAACCTTTGAAACTGTCACAACCTTTTAGCAAGGACACAACCTTTCATAAAAGTCAAAACCCACTGGCAAAGTGACAACCCTTCAGGAGAGTTACAACCTTCATTTTTCTGTTCACACCTTTAAAACCCAACAATCCCCCACATGAATAGGGAATTCCTATTTTTTCTAAAAAAGCACATGCATGAAAAGATGTGTGATTCGTAATAAGGGTTAATCGCATCTGAATAAGCACGTTTCCCTTTAAACTTTTCGTACTGAACATATATCGGATATACTCGGTCAATCGGTAGATTTGATATCTTTGAACCATCGAGCTTTGGTGTATACCTAGAGAACATAAGTCAAACAATCAACCCTTGAATTGTTTTTTGTTCTCATTATTTTGTTCGTTTCAATTATGAACACATCTCGATTAATAAGTTCTTAGAGAACTAACCTTACCAGATTCTCCTTGAAGCGACTTACACTTCATACTTAGATAGGTGATTTCTAAATGTGTTATCCCGTAGTTACACCATTTGATATACCATGTATCAAACTTAGAAACCATTAAAGAGGGCTAATGTCTTTATCCTTGTTACTAAACATTGTCTTATCATGATACTGAACCATAAAAAATAATATTTTTACAATGTTGAACCGTCATTAATGACTTTGTTTAATCTATTTGAAGCTAGATCTTGGGATCTCAAGTCTTCTAGGTAGAGTTACCTCCACAATGACTTGTTCTCGGCCATAATCTCATTTCCTTTAATAGTCTATCAACTTCCTCTCTAGTTAGGCATTTTTTAAGTGGATCCGACACATTACCCTTTAACTTTACATAGTCAATTATTATAATTCCACTAGAGAGTTGTTCTCTAACGATATTATGTCTACATCATTTACGACGAGATCTTCTGTTATACATTATGCTCCGTGCTGAACCTAGTGTATGCATACAGGAGCTAAAGGTTTGGACCAAAAATCTTTCAAAAAATTTCGGAGTCATTCAACTTCTTCACTAGTCTTATCTATAGTGATAAACTCAAATTTCATAGTAGAGTGAGCGATATATTTCTGTTTGAAAGATTTCCAAGGGAATGTTCCTCTACCAATAGTAAATACATATCCACTCATGAATTTTATTTAATTTGACCTGGTGATTCAATTTGCATCAATATATTCTTCCAATATTGTTGAATACTAGTCACAATTCAAAGCAATAGTTTGTTAAGTATGTTTTTTTTTAAAAAAATACTCAAATCTCTTTCCATTGTCATCCAATGTGTTTGATTGAGATTACTTGTGAACCGACTCAGTTTACTAATCACACATACTATATTTGATCACGTACACTTCTTGATACATGTTATACTTCTCAATAATCTAGCATAATCCAATTGCGAGTACCCTTTTCCTTCATTCTTTTGAAGTACAAAGTTCACATTTATTTGAGTCTATTCAATATTGAAATACAAATACTTGAACTTTTCAAGTATCTTTTCAATAACATCACTAACTTTAATTTCTTTCATATTGAAGTTATTTTCTAGCGTATGCTTAGTAGCATTTATGTCATATGTTTCTCTTTTGATGATCAACATGTTATAAACATAAAAATAAATAATTACCTTGTGATTTGGAATGTCTTTAATGTAAAACATTTATCACATTCATTAATCTACAATTCATTTGTCAATGTAGCTTGGTCAAACATCGCACGTCATTATTTGGGCGCTTGTTTTTAGTCCATAAACTTACTTAACAAGCTTACACATTTTTTTAACCACGAACCACTTAGCCTTTAGGTTGTTCCATGTTATTTCTTCCTCCATGAAATATATTCTTATATCCATTTTGACAAATTCGCAACTAGGGCAATTAACATATGAGTTGATGTATTCCTAGTTAGAGGCTAATATATGTAAAAATAATCAAGGATTTGTCATTGTCTAAAGCCTATGACAATAAATCTTACTTTGTATTTGTCAATAGTTTCATCAACTTTTTTTACTTTTGTATATCCACTTTGAACACAAAAGTTTAGTTCCTGAAGGAAGATCAATCAACTCTCAAGTATGGTTACTCAACATTGAATCTATATTACTATTAACAGACTCTTTCCAAAAAGTATGAGCCCACAAAAGACATCTTTTTCGACTATATGGACTCATTTTCAAGAAGAAATATTACAAAATAAAACTCGGAGGAAGTAATTTTTCCATTGACATTTAATACGCCTCTGAATCTCCTTATTTAGTACATTCTCCTTTTGTTGTTTCCAAGGTCTTTTAGACCCTTTAGATGACTATCTGGTGATTCGAACTTATTAACTATAAATCAACATGCTTTAATATTTGTAGCATATTCAATGACCATACAATCCACAGTCTTAGGTCCTATTTTGACCTGTTTGGGAATAGTTTCCTCATTTCCATTTCTCTTATGGGATAGACTGTATTGAAAATGTTAGATCACTAGCTTTCAAGAGTTATTGCTTGTATATAATCTAAGGAATGACAAACCTTTTTCTATCAGGATATAACAAAGTCTGATAAAACTTTTTGTTTTTCCCTTTCTTAACAAACAAAGTTTTTGATTTGTTGCTCCCTTTATTAACGTATAAAACTTTTTGTTCTCTCTTTTTGAACATTAAAAAATTGTTGTTCTTTTTTGTTATAATGATAGCACCCCCCCCCCCAAAGTTTTATGGTAAACGTGAACTTAAAAGTAGGAGATTCAACATTTCATTCAAAGTTCAGTTTTTTTTCTTGTCAAAAATTTCATTAGATTGAGGTGAGTATGTGCAGCAATTTAATGGATGATTCCATTTTCCAAATATATTTCTGCAAAAGAATGTTCATATTCTCCAGATCTATCACTTCTAATCATGACAATTTTTTTATCCAACTGATTTTCAACTTTAGTTTTATATTACCTATATATTTCTATTGCTTTATCCATATCATTCAGCAAATAGACATAACAATGTATAGTGCAATTGCTAGTAAAATCCATGAAGCATTTTTCCCACCACGAGATGTTGTTAACTTCACATCACAAATGTCAGTGTTAACCAATTTTAAGTTATTCTAATTCATTTCAACAACACATATGACATTGATTTATTTCTCCAGAAGTTAGGAAAATCTTCTATGTTGATAAGTTTTTGGAAGGTTTATAAGTGACATGTGTCAATCATTTATGT